AAATTAATGAGTGGCAAAACCAAATTAAAGATTTTCACACAGAGAATCTTGAGTGAAATCAACTTCTGGTCAAAATACCCTCCTTTAACCAAATCTAGAACCTTATTCAACCATTGTTCTCTATGACCTTAGGAAGCATTTGGAAGACATAATATTTTCCAAGGACTTTAAGGAGCAAATAAGGGAGGTGAGAAAATTGAAAATAGAGGACTTTTGTTTAAAATTTTTAATATTAAATAATAGCACCCATTCATATTTATGCCTGATTTTATAATATATTAGACATATATTTAAATTAAATACATACCACTATAAAATATATTTATGTGCTTATAAAGTATGTATCAAATCAGGCATAAATATGAATGCGTACTCCATTATTAATTTTTATCTGTAAATTTATTTATACATATGAAATATGTATTTATTACTTGTAACTACACTTTGGATAACAAAATTAGAGTTCAGGACAGTGAGAAAGTAGGGATGAACAGCATGCTTTATGAACAACTAGTTTTAACAGGTCTTCTTGATCTAAACAACAACAACAACAAAAAAAAACCCCTGCATTTCCTCAGTAAATATGCTTATTCTGTGTTTTAAGTCTCAAGGAGTTAGGGCAGAAATGCTTCACAAGAAATACTCTTCATTTGCTCTTAACCGTGACTGCTTTGTTACTGACTGTATATGAACTTCTCCTTGGTTTACTAAGCATTAGTAAGCGTGAAGACTGTTTGTGCTCTGTGTAAGAATGCTAAAAAAAAAATGCAGCTTTTTTCTCAAGAGATTTGAAAAATAACTTTCATTATTGTTCAGAGGAAACTCTGATATTTGCATATTTTTGGTTAGTTTTCAATAAATTCATCATTGGAATTCTGATAAGTTTCAGCTCTGGACTGCATAGAATCTTAAATTTAGAAGCTACGTACCACTACGTTAAAAAACTTAAAATTCTCATTTAAGAAGTGTCAAAATTCTTGGCAATAGCGAATCCTTTTAAAATATCAGGAAGCATATGAGAAAAGGAAAAATAGGCCATTCTTCGTACTACGGTAATCCAATTCATGAACTAGTTAGCACACCGAAGACAGAGGAAAATGACCCTTGTCGAGATAATTCATTTTTCTAGTTAATAATTAATATTTTACAATATACCCGACCAAGTCCGTAGGCTCCTTTTCCTTTACAATTTCACTGAGCATCTGCAAATCTATTAAAATGTCATCTACGTTGAAGGATCTATTGCCTCATCCAATGCTTGCCAATTTTTTAAAAAACATTAGAAGAAGTAGCCCTAGTTGGTAGTTTGCTTAGAAAAGAACTGGACCTTACAGTCACTTAAATTCAACCTCTTGAGAACTTCTTCTTCATAAAAGCTGTGAATTAATCCTGCCATTGGAGCCTCTGGGCTATACAACGAGTATAATTTTTTCTTTAAAAATGACCAGCTTCACTGACACAGATATCAGGATAGAAGTTCTGGTATTTTGCTGGTGAACTTAGTAAATCCTGCTCACGCCTTGTTCTGTTTAGGGCCCGGCTTGCTCGAGCGCCAGCACGTACGTCTGTGGGACTGGGGATTGCTGAGTCTCCTCAAACTCATAAATTTCCAGACATTTTTCTTACTACATGCAAGGTGTTATGTTGATATGTTTTGATGACATTTAAATATGATAATACAGCGGTAATTAGAGGGTAAGAAAAAAATGGCAACGCCTCCCATTTCTTTGAAATTGTATAAACAGACGGCTTCTCGGCATGAAACCCCAACTGAAATGAGGGATGTGCCAGCATGCAAGTCCGCAAACCCATTTCATTTGAGTAAAATAAATATTGAGTTCCATCTATCTTTTAGCACATTCTCAAGTAGCATCTTAATAAAATATAAACCGATTTCATTCATCGAACTCTATACCTTTAAAGCATAATCTACCATGAGCCAATTTAAGCATCGCTTATGTTACTTAAGGAAGTTTGATTTAATCAGACCAATACCATCATTGGCACCTTGGGAGGGTATTAGGGAACCAACTCATTATTCTGAAAATCAGTAAATAAAGGGAAAGAATTAAACATTTATCCTGACTTTCCATGAAGGAAGGACAACCGATGGACAACCAAAAGGTTGCTGAAGGAAACTTTCTCTTTATAGATATAACTGAACAAATAGGTGAAAAGGGAATGACAATTAGAATAACACCATTTGGCCACTTTATATTAATTAATGGATTTAAGCAAAAATCAATGGCTTTAAAGATCACAAAAAGAGAAGTGATGAACATTGTATGCCTCCTGATAGAAACAGAACATCACCTGTGATGTAGCCCTGTAAATCTGAATCTGATCAACCTCAACATCTATTGATCAACTTACAAAAACTACAAGAAACACAGGAAAGACAAAGTAATGTATTAAATGACAGCGTGGCGTGCAATCAGCAAAATCCATACTCTGGATACTAATGAACAAATAACTCGGTTTCTTGTACAAGTGAATCGCAAGGGAAAGTAGAGATGGATAAATTCAGATATAACATTATGTAGTGTTTTTAGACAATTCCTTTTTTTTTTTAATGGTTTGTGTTCCAGAGATCTTTTTTTATCAATTCATTAACGATTAAGATAGCCCTATAATCCACCTTTCTAATTTTGGAACTACCATTTCTCTCTTTTCTCAGGGAACAATAACAACAATAATAAAATTCTCAGGCTAGAAAGCAGTTTCTTTTCCATTGGAGGCAAGAGCAAAAGCAAGCCTGGAGAATTCTTTACATCCTCGGGTAGAGACCATCTTTCCCCTCCCACCAAGGAGTCCTACAGTCGTTTCCTAGGGCTGCCCTAACAGAGTACCCCAGGCTGGGGGGCTTCAACAACAGATATTTCTTTTCTCTGTTGTGGAGGCTGAAAATCCAAAATCAAGGTGCCGATAGTCTTGGGAGACCTGTGTCCTTGGCCGCTTTTTCATTGTGTCTTCACATGATCTTTCCCCTCCATGGGCATGCACCCCTGGTGTCCCCAGTGTGGGCAATCTACTTCTTCTTCGAAGGTCACCGGTCATGTTGGGTCCCCCTAACACCGTCTTTTGAACTTAGTGACCTCCTTAAAGAGCCTGTCTCCGAATACAGCCACATTCTCAAGTGCTGGGGGTTAGTGCCGCCACCCGACCCGGGGCAGGGGGAGGGCACACGGTTCGGCCTACACCAAGCCCATTCGGAATCTCACGTTTATCGATAACACCAAAGCCGTATTAACTGCTGAAAATGGTTTGGAATTTAGAAAAAAAAAACCTTCCACGTGAGCTCAGAAGCTAGACCCCTGAAGCTCATGAAATTCATCACGTAAGCCACACTTTGCCAAGTCTGTCCCCTCCTGCACTCCCAGACGCTGGCTCTTCACACCTGTGCTCTCCAGTGTGGTAGCCGCATGTGACCAGAGGACACTGGAAATGTGACCGCTCCAAACCGAGGTGTGTGGTCAGTGTAAAATACACCGGATTCCACAGACTTGGTAAGAAAAAAAAGAAAAAAAGTGAAATATGTCACTAAGTTTGGTGTGGATTACATGTAAAGGATCCTGGGGTTATTGGTTTCATGCTTGATCTTAGTTTTTTTTTTTTTTTTTAAATATGATTACTAAAAAAAAGTTTAAAGTCACATGTGGCTCTCATTCTATTTCTATTGGTTGGTGCTTTCCAAAATATGGGTGCATCGTTTGACCTAAGGCTTGCTTTGAGAACTGTCTTACACTGCCAATTTGTAACTCTCCCCAAGAATCGCCCTCCCCCCCTCCCGCCCCAGTACACAGGTATAGAATTGTAGCACCACATCCAGTCCCTTACATCAGCGTCCCGCTTGTTAGGAAGGCAGCCTGTAATGCCAACGTAATGGATTCAAAGGAAATGTGTTGTATTGAAGTGTAAGTGACAGGTAGTCCTGCCGCCTCTCACCTTTCCCAGAAATGAGGGAAGTTGTAATTAACAGCAATTGACAAAGATACCGACTTTTCAATTACCAGTCCTACTTAAAAAAAGTCTTATATTCTAATTTTACCAAAACACTAGAACTGAGATTATTAGGATTCCTAGAAATTTTGCAGTAATTAAATACTTGCAACCCCCAGATCTTATGGGGGGGGATTTTGCTTTTGTTTTAAAGTTGCTGTTGAGGGGCACCTGGCGGGCTCAGTCTGTAAAGCATGTGACTCTTGATCTTGGGGTTCTGAGTTCCAGCTCCAGGTTGGGTGGAGATTACTTAAAAATAAAATTTTAAAAAGTTGCTGTTGTGCAGTTGAGAGGAACTGTAGATAGAAGTATCTTAGGGATCAGTTATTTCTCACTCTTTTCAGGTACATAGAATAAAACACAATATACATAAAAAAATACAGTATTTCTTTCCCATTTTTAAAATGGCACTGTTGGATGTAAAGGGTGCTGGGAACCTGAATCCCCAGCAAGGACAGGAATATCTATGGACTGAAAGCATTTTAAGATTCATGTTTGATACATCCTGCTTTAAGCGCTTTCATGTAGCTGGGAAGTGGAAAGGGGAAAAAAAATGCTCAAAATTGCACAGTGAATGATGAAAGATAAAAGCTAGTGGCCCTGTCACTTAACCAATTACTTAATTTTGAAAGCGAACTTAACTATGTTAAACTACGGCTCCCCTTCCCAAAGTATGTGAATGTAAAAAGCACCTTTTCCCCAAGTTTTTAATTGCAAAATTTTATTGTTTATATACATGAGAAGAATATGTAGATTACACTGCATTCTTTCTCAAACATATAATCAAGACCTATCGGCACGACGTTTGTTGACTTGTTAACAGAGAACTCACCTTCAGTGGATATGATTATATATCCTAAATATAACGTCAAGCATACCTTCCAAATCCCTTAAATGGAGTAATAGTCATACTTACCATCGACCCTTAAAATTTTAAGTTTTTCTCTAAAATTTGCATTTTAAAATTAAGTTTGTAAAAAATCCTATTTTAGCAAGCTTGATTATATCAACTGGTAAAACTTTATTTTACAAGCAATAGGAATTGAATCAAATGATTATTATAATCCAGAGGAAGTATCTTATAACCATAGCAAATGCCATTTTACATACTGCCGATACAGATTTAATAAACAATACTGAACTGTACAAGAGTTATTTATTTTTCCTTAATCTCAAAGCTATTGTTAGTAATACAAAAAAGCCATATTAACATTTTTCCAGTAGAAAACAATGTGATGTACAAAACTTTGGATGAAAAGGTATATGTCAAATTTCATTTAATCGCTTGGTGGAAAATCCACCACTCCATCAATACCACCCAAAGTGTTTTAGGCAATTAAAATCAAAATAATGCATCTTAATTCCAGCTGTTAAAAAACAAAAACAAAACAAAACAAAACAAAAAAACCCAAGCCTAGCAATATAGTTGGCTACACAGTATTTTTGACTACTCACAAGTTAATTTTTTAAATCAATTTTTTTTGAGTCCTCCCACATACTAGGCCCTGTACTTGGCCAAGCAGGCATTTGAGAAAAAGCTGGTGAGGTTGGAAAGACCCTATAAAGCAGTCCTTTGGTTACCAGATTTGACTTTTAACTTTCAAACATCCTTCAAGACCAACACACCCCAACTAAAAGTACATACTTTTCCAAATGCTATTTTTAGTAGTGGGGAGGGTATTTGGTAAGGAGAGGTCATGGACTATCATATATGATCTACTCTTCCAATTATTAGCACATGTCAAAAGCTAATGTACCTTTCTAAGGAGTTTAAGATTTGGCGCTGGGTTGTCACAAATGTGGTTCAGTCCCACCGTGAACCCTACACAAGGCGTGCTGCTCAAAAACAGCAGAGGTGTGCGTCAACTATTTTCCTTCGCCATTTCATGAAGTAATGGTACCTGATACACACCTTTACCTTCAAATTCAATCCAGTTTAGGATCCAGTGAAGAAAAAAAAAAAATAAATCCAGTTATGCGGTGGTAAGAGCAAAGGTGAAACTGGTAAGGATCATTACTATAGAAGGAAGCATCATTCTCTATCTTTTCCCTTTGAGTAACAAGAGACTAACACACTACTGATTAAAAAAAAAAAAAAAAAACAACCACTCGCAACTATCGAATTGAGGCAAGTACTAAAGGCCCATAAACTGACAACATTGCCCATTCACCACCATCACTTCTTTACATAAGCCCGTTTTCCTAAGGTACAACACATAATCTACGCAGTATTTGGAAATCAGCCAAGCAGTAATCAATTACAATGGCAGGTAATACACCATCGATTTCGGAAACACATTTGGCCACTTCTGTGGCCCGTCTGCAGTTCGGATTAAATAGACTCTCGCTCAGGTTTCTGGACCGGCATGACCGAAAACGTACTTTACGAGATTTTCACATGACATTTAAATGGTCCGGGGGTGGGGTGGGGGGGGGTGTCACACCACTTTTGTATTAAATGGTTCATTCTGACATGCTATATAACTACCATAAAAATAACTGCTGAATTTTTTAAATGAAAACTCAACGTCAATGCAGGTAAATGGTAACAGACACGGAAGGCCGTGACTCCTTCCTGCGTGTAATCTGACACTGCTGATTATGAATTTCAGAGTCTGGAAACTTCAGATTACAAACCACAAGAAAATTTACTCTTGATGGCATGCGAGATGTTCCTCAAAACTATCCTTGAGACCTAGAGGTCTCGGTACTTTATCAGAACATAAATAAACACAACAGATTTGTACATTTTATTCACATTTATTTTTCGCTTTTAGTGTGCTCACAGAAAATTAGAACACCTTAAGCAGGAGTTTAATAGCAATTTTTGTAAGCAAAGTTACATTCCATCTCTAAGTCAAATTGGTCAAAGCTTCTCCAGTATTTACAAAACATGATAGACAAGATGCTACACAAAACCATTGCATCTGAAGATTTTTTTTTTCCTTTATTCTCAAAGACGACTGGAAAAGAAAGCATTGTCTGCTGTAATCAAAAACATACCACAGTATAAACAGTAACCATTCCACTTATCACAGCTTGGTTGAGTTTAAAATTTGTGTTTAAAAGGTCCAAGATGACTGCAGTTTTACAAAAATGGGCAGGGTGGAGAGTTGCAAACTTCATGTGCTTCTGGATATCAAGATTTGTTTTTATACAATAGTCACAGTTAAAAACACCCTGCTGGTAATACATAATTACACTTTATTAAGGTCATAAACCAGCAATAAACAATAAAGCCTATACAACTTGTAGTTCTACTTAATCACTGACTGGTACAGCTAACATGAGATAAGTGAAAAGTTCCTATGGTTTAAATGAACTCCTAAGACTATGATCTTTTTTTTTTCTTTTAAAATCTGGGTATTGGTGTTTTTTTTTTTTTTCTTTTTCCTTTCCTTCTTAGTCAAGACTTGTAGTGTTGTAAACCTGCCTCACAAAATACATTGTAATAACTTTTCTTTAAAAAAAAAAAAAAAAAAGACTAAGCCTTTACACCATCGCTTCTAGTGGTACATTGTTCTTGGCAATGTCACGCACCACTGGAGATTTCCCCTTCGTGGCCCCTATCACTTCATCTGATATCCCTTTTGACCCACCCATCTCCTTCATATATGGGCATGTCCATAGATTGACAAAGAAAGTTTACATTTTTGAATAAAGATGCAAAGTATGCAAAAAACATTAATACTGATGCAAAAAAAAAAAAAAACAATAAAAAATAAAAAAAAAACGAAAGAGACACACAAGGCGGAGGAAGGTGGCTTAAGCGCTCCTCGACCTGTTGGAATGGTGGTAACAATGATCTGAGATGGGATCTGTGGGGGGGGGGAGGCGGAGGGAGGAGGGGGGAACAGAATTTGCTGCATTAAAAAAAAAAAAAAAAGGTAAAATCAAAAAAAAAAAAAAAAAGACATCTTTAAAAATCAATCCCTGGTTGTAGACGAGTTCTCCAAAACCAGTACCTGGCACCACTCCAACAAACGAACGGGGGTGGGGGCGGGGGAGAAGAGTTCTCGGGTTGGCTCGGCGCTCGGCGCCTCTACTCGGCCGCCTCCGCCGGGGGGCCTTCCGGACTGCACTCGGGCTGGGGCTCCTGCGAGGACGCGGCCGCCGCGGCCGAGGCCGAGGCCGCCGCCGCCGCCTCCTCCGCGGCTGAGGCCGAGGCCGAGGCCGCCACCGCCGCCGCCTCCTGCTCGGGGCCCGCGGCCGGCGCCTCCGCGGCCTCCCCCGCGGCCTCCCCCGCGGCCTCCCCGGGCCCGGCGGCCTCCCCGGGCCCCGCGGCGGCGGGCGGCTGCTCGGGCGGGGCGGCGTCGCGGGGCTGGGCCTCCTGCGGGCCGCCGGCCGCCGCCTGCTCAGCCGCCCGGGGCTCGGCGGCCTCCGCGGCCTCCCCCGCGGCCTCCGCGGCCTGCACCTGCGCCTGCACCTGCGCCTGCACCTGCGCCTGCGCCTGCGCGCCCGGCTCGGCGGCCTCGTCCTTGCGGCCGTCGGCGGGCGCGCTCCCCGCCGCCTCGGCCTCCGCCTCGCCCGCCTCCTTCTTGCTCTTCTTGAAGGAGAAGCCGCTCAGCTTGAAGGACTTCTTGAAGGAGAAGCGCTTCTTTTTTTTTTTCGGGGTCTCCCCGCTGGGCGAGGGCGCGGCGCCGTCCTCCGCCTTGGGCGACGACGTGGACGACGCGGCGGACGCGGCCTCCCCCTCGGCGGCCGCCGGCGACCCCGGCGACCCCGGCTCGGCGGCCTCGGCCTCGGCCTCCCTGTCGGCGGGCGCGGCGGCGGCGGCGGCGGCGGCGGCGGCCTCCGGCTCGGCGGGCGGCTCCTCCTGCTCGGCGGCCGGCGCCCCGCTCCCCGCGGCCGCGGGCTCCTCCTTGTCGGCGGCCGGGGCGCTGCCGTTGGCCTGCAGCTCCTCCTTGGCGCCCGGCTCGGCGGCCGCGGGGGACGCGTCCCCGTTCACCTTCACGTGGCCGTTCTCCTGCGGGCACACAAGGCGGCAGCGTCACTCGGGCGGCCCCCGGGAGGCCCCGCGCCCCGCCGGGGGGTGGGGGGACGGGGCGTGCACCTGCTGGGGAGTGGGGGGCGTGCACCCCGCTCCGGGGAGGCCCTGCGCCCCGCTGGGGGGGAGGGGGCGTGCACCCTGATGCGGGGGGCCGTGCATCCTGCTCCGGGGAGGCCCTGCACCCCAATGGGGGGGGGAGGGAGCGTGCACCCCGCTCCAGGAGGCCCTGAGCCCTTCTGGGGGGAAGGGGGGTGTGCACCCTGCTGGGGGGGAGGCTGTGCACCCCGCTCCAGGGAGGCCGTGCACCCTGCTGGGGGGAAGGGGGGTGTGCACCCTGCTGCGAGGGGAAGGCTGTGCACCCAGGTGGGGGGGAGGGGGGGTGCACCCTGCTGGGGGGGAGGCCGTGCACCCAGGTGGGGGGGAGGGGGGGGTGCACCCTGCTGGGGGGGTGTGGCTGTGCACCCAGCTCCAGGGAAGCCCTGCACGCCGCCCCAGGAGGGAGGCCGTGCACCCTGCTCCCGGGGAAAGGCCGTACACCCCACTCTGGGGAGGCTGTCACCCCGGCCCCAGGGAGGCCGTGCACCCCACTCCGGGGAGGTCCTGCACCCAGCTCCAGGGAGGCCGTGCACCCCGCTCCGGGGTGTGGGGGGAGACCGTGCACCCTGCTCCCGGGGAGAGGCCGTGCACCCCGCTCCGAGGGGAGGCCGTGCACCCCGCTCCGAGGGGAGGCCGTGCACCCCGCTCCGAGGGGAGGCCGTGCACCCCGCTCCGAGGAGAGGCCGTGCACCCCGCTCCGGGGTGAGCGGGGAAACTGTGCACCCCGCCCGGTGGAGGCCCTGCATCCCGCCCCGGGGAGGCCCTGCACCCCGCCCCGGGGAGGCGGCGTCGCCTGCCCAGATGAGCACCCTCCGCGGAGCCGGGGCAGGGCCGGGGCGGCGCCCTGGAGGCGCGCGCCGGGCAGACGCCCCACGGTCCCACGGCGCCCGGGCAGCGCACGGGGAGCGGCGCATCGCCCACCGCAGCCCCCGCCTCCCGGGCTCCGCACGAACAAGAGCCACGTAACACACGATGCTCGGGGCGCCGTTAGGGCGCAGGCCCCGAGCCGGGCCGCGCGGTCCCCCGGGCCCCACGCCCTGGGGAGCGTCCAAGCCCCGAGCCCCCGGGGGCGCCTCCAGCCGGCGGCCCGGCCTGCGCGCGCACAGGCCCCCGCCCCGCAGGGCTCGGGGGCGCCAGGGGGCGCTGCGGCTCCACGGCGCGGGGCTGGGCGCGGGCGGGCGCGAGCGAGGGGCGGGGCCGCGGGGTCCCCCGCCCTGCCCAGCCCGGCCCGGCCCGGCCCTGCCCGCCGGCCGCGGCGCCCCCGGGCCCGGAGCGCGCAGCCCGGAGCCCGCAAACAAAGCTCGGGCGGCCCCGCGGCCTCCGGGTCCGCAGCCGCCCACGGGTCGGAGCCGCGCCCGTCGCGGGGGTCGGGCCTCGGCTTCCGCGCCCACACCCCTCGGGTCGGCGGGGCCGGGCGCGCCACGGCGGCTCCTTCTGCACGTTCCACGGTTCCGAGCCCCTCGGCCGAGCTCGCCCGCCCACTAGGGCGGAGGAGGCGAAGCCACCGGCCTCCGCTCTAGGAAAAGAGGCGTGGTGGGCGCCCGGCGCTGGCGGAGCAGCCGCCCGGGACCGGCCTCGCGCGCCCACCTGCCTGCCCCCCGGAGCGGGGTGCACGGTCTCTCCCGCCGGAGCGGGGTGCACGGTCTCTCCCGCCGGAGCGGGGTGCACGGTCTCTCCCCCCGGAGCGGGGTGCACGGCCTCTCCCCCCGGAGCGGGGTGCACGGTCTCTCCCCCCGGGAGCTGCGGTCTCCCCCCTCGGGTCCCGGCCGCGCCGCGCGCACCCACAGCCCCGGCCCGCCCCGGCCCGCGGGCGCCGGCCCCGCAAGGACCCGCGGAGCCCTCCCTCCCGGGGACGCCGTGCCCAGGCCGGGTGGGTGCGGAAGGCAGGACGCAGGCCCGCGGGAAAGCCGCTCGCGGAGCCCCCGGCCCCGCGCTCCGGGAGCCGCGCGCCGCCCGGGCGCACAAGGAGCGGCCCTCCGCGGCCCCCGGCGCGGCAGCCCCATCACGCCACCCCGGCCACGTCGGGAGCGACCCAATCCGGAGCGCAGACGCGGGAGCCGGCCCGACACCTTTGTGCCCACCGAGCGCACACGCGACCCGGCCGGGGGTGGGGGGTGGGGGTGGGGGTGGGGGGCAGCACCTAGCTCGTCACGTTCCGGGCTCCAGACACGCCATTTTAGGCGCTTGGCACTTCTCGGCTCGCGGCTGCGCGACCACTCGCCGGGGTCGCCCGGGCGCCGCTCCCCCGCCCCCCGGCGCCCCCCGGCGCCCCCCGCCGCCCCCCAGGACGAGCTGACAGTCCAGGCGGCCGCCTCCCAGCCAACTTTCCCGGCGGAACGCGGCCGCGCGCCTCCCTCCGCCGAAGGCGCCCCGGGCGCGACCCCGAGGGGAGGAGAAGCGTCGGGGCCGGACGGGGACGCCGGGACGCCGGGGACGCCGGGGACGGCCGCCCGCATCCCAGGTAGACGTTACCTGGCCGTTCGCTTTGGAGGGCGACGAGGCCACGGCCGCGTCCCCGGGCCTCTCGGCGGCGGCCTCTCCCTTGGCGGCGGCCTTGGAGAACTGGGCACCCATGCTGGCTTCTTCAACAAAGAAACTCAACAGATCCAAGGGGGGAAACAAAGAGCCTCCGGTTGGTGCAACGACGGGGCGAGCGGCGGCGGCGGCGGCGGCGGCGGCGGCGGCGGCGGCGCACACACCGGAGGGAGGGAGGGGGGAGTGGGGGTGGCGGAGAGGACAGGACAGAACCGACTAAATACACTCCGGGTAAAAAAACCTGAAGTCCGAGAGCTAAAAAAGCAGCAGCGCAGGAGGGAGGGAAAAAAAAAAAAAAAAAAAGGGGGGAGGAAAAGAGTCGAGCACGAAAAAAGGAGCCCAAGTGTAGCCTTTCTTTAAAAAAAAAAAAAAAGAAGCAATAAAAAAAAAATCCCAGATTCGTAGCCGCACTGTAGACAAGAGGAAAATGGAGAAATCTCCCTGGTTGCTAATAAGATGCGGGGTCCAACGCCCAAGTGCACAGATGAATGGGCTCGCGGGCGCTGACGCGGCCCCCGCGCGCGCCGGCCAATCCGCGCGCCGCACACAAAGCAGGGGGCGGGGCCTGCGCGCCCGGCGAACAATGGAGCCGCGCTTTGCAAAAGGTTTGAAAATCGGCCCTCGGACCGAGAATCAACGTCCCCCAAATAAATAAATCGATCAAAAAAATGCATGCCTCTCGCCTCCCTCTGCTTGAAAATGATGACGCATCCCTTGGTTGGCTTGCTTTGTTTGGGATTAATTAACGCGGGGGGAGGGGGAGGAGGGGGAGGGTGGGGAGGAGGATGGGGAGGAGGAAGCGGAGGGGGAGGAGGGGGGGTACTCGTGGACGGGGGCGGAGAAAGCGTTAACTTGACTCGCTTTGACTCCTGTCGGTCTGTATCCGCGTCTGGCTCCCCTCCCCCTCCCCCCAGCCTCCCCGTGTGTTTACGCGCGTGTGTGTCTGTGTGCGCGCGTGTGCGTGTGCTGGGGACAATGGCTGGGATCCGTGCGCGGCGTGTTCCATGTCGGTTCCACGGATCCTGCACCGAGTTTGTGTTGCTTTTTTTTTTTTTTTTTTTTTTTGCATGTGTGTATGTGGTTTTTTTTTTTCTCTTCTTTTTAACGTCGCAAACGTGAAATCGGCTTCCCCCCCACACACACCCCTTCCCCGTTGAAAGGCATTTAAACCACGAAGATCGAATTTCACCAAACGACATCTCGAGTTGGAATTAGGTCTGTAGGCCAGACGTGGAAGATGCAAAGGCGGCGAGGAGCCCGAGCGCTCGCACCGCGTAGCAATCCTTGCGTATTGGCCTGCGCCGCTCCTCGACTCGCCCCCCCCCACCCACTCCACCCCCGGCCATTCGCAATTAGTGATCCCCCCGCACCCACCACCAGCACCAGCACCGCCGCCGCCGCCGCCGCCGCCGCGGTGCACACTATAAAGTGAGGCTCCTAAGAGTCGGCGTCGCATCCCCGCCCGGCCTGACAGCGCTGCTCTGCCCAAACGGGGCGCAGCCTGGAGCGCGGGGACCCGTGTGCCCGCTGGGGGTGCGCCCCCGCCGCGTCGGTGTGAACCGCTTGCAGCGAGTGCGTGTGCCCGCCGGCGAGTGAGCTCCCGGAGGCGGGGCGGGCGGGCAGCCGCGAGGAAGCCCCGTGGAGACGCGGCGAGCGGAGCCCCGGGCGCTGCAGGTCCGGCTCGGGGTGCGGACCAGGCTCCCGGCACCTCGACCCGCGCCCCGCGCCACGCAAGTTCGCGGCGCTGTTTGTGCGAGACCAGGCGCGGCGAGCGGGGCTGCAGCCTGGTGGCCCCCCCCCACCGCCTGCGTCTTTGCTCCCGAAGTTTCCGCCCGTTGCCCCAGCAGACCCTGACCCTGTCCCCGCTCGCACCCCGCGCGCCCCCCCCCCGAGGAGTCCTCTACTCGCTTGGGGAGGCGGGCAGGGGTCTGCGGCCGCGGGCTCGGAATTCTCACGCTGCTTTATTTTCTGCTTATTGTAGGGAAATGGGTCACACTTGGAGCGAAAAGAGATGGTTCGAGCCAATAACTCTTTGTTCAAGGACGGCTCTGCCGGTGGCGGCGCCGAGCCCGTGCTCCCGGGCCTCCCCGGCCCCCGCCCTCCCGTGCCCCGCTCCCCGGGGCTGCCCACCCCGCCGCGCGTGCTGTCCCCGAGGGGCACCCGGACCCCGGCCCGCCTGCGCCGAGCTGCCCCGAGAAGCAGCTGCTGCTGCAAGGCCTCGTCACCTGAGGCTGCGCCCCCCCCGCCCCCCGCCCCCCGCCCCTGCGCAGGCGGGCGCGCCCCGACCCGGGGCTCCGAGCGCTGCCGGGCCCTCGCAGCCGCGCCCCAGCCCTCGGCCCGGGGGCCGCCCTTGCCGCTGCTTTGTTGCCCGACCGCCCTGCAGCTTTCCCCCCTTTTCTTTCTCCAACGCCTATTTGCCTGGTAGCGGCTGGTCTCCCTGGCAACGGCCACGGAAGATTCGGAGCCCGGGACCGGGGCGCGGGGGGGGGGGGGGGCGGGGCCGGGGACGCGGGGCCGAGCGGGCGAGACCGGGCCAGATGGCCGTGGGGGGGGGGTGCGGGGGCGGCAGCTGCGGGGCCGCGGAGCCGGTGCCGACGCGGAGAGCGGGTGGGGAGCGCGGCCGGGCGGGCGGGGGCCGCTCCCTCCGCAGCTGACCCGGGGGCGCCCCACCTGGGGGCACCGCGGCCCGGGGAGCAGGCGGGGGTGGGAGTGGGGCTGAGCGAGCCTGACCCGGGGTCACCCCACCCGGGGGCACCACGGCCGGGGGAGCAGGCGAGGGGGGTGGGGCTGAGCAGGGGCCGCTCCCTCCGCAGCTGACCCGGGGGTGCCCCACCTGGGGGCACCACGGCCCCGGGGAGCAGGCGGGGGGCTTGAACTGGGCTGAGCGGGGCTGACCCGGGGTCACTCCACCCGGGGGGCACGGCGGGGGGGGGACGGGGTGCTGAGCAGGGCTGAGCGGGGCTGACCCGGGGTCGCCCCACCCGGGGGCACCAGGGCCGGGGGAGCAGAAGGCGGGGTGCGCTGAGACCCACGGCGACCGCGTGTGGGTGCGCAGATGCCCCGCGCTCAGGGGTCCCAAAAACACGTTTAAGTGTGTGAATACGATGATGTATGCAAACGGGGCGAAAGAACCCAAGAATTCCCAGCGGAAGTGTGAACCAGGGGACTACCGCGGCCGACTCGCCCAGACGAGAGGACAGGCAGGCGTCTACTTTGCTCGGTATTCCGTCCCCGGGGCCCTGGGGTGTGTGCTTCTCAGGTGACGGGGATCTGTGTCTGTGTCCCTCCAGTAAAAGGACTACTGATTTAGGAGACTTCGGAGTTATTTTTTCCTTAAAATCTTAACCCTGGAAGGACTTTCTCGAGACGGGCACAAGGTCTTGAAGGCCTACCACGTGCGGCCCATACCGCCCCAAGCCCTGTGTTGGCATCCTCCTGGCCGGGGAGCTTAGGGGCTACTAGGGCATCTGATTCCATCCCCTCAGTGGAGGAAAACCCAGGCCCAGGGGAGCTGCCAGATTTTGTCAGTTGGGAGAAGCACGAATGGAGAATGGAGCCCACCTGCTTGATGATTCCCAGTGCCCAGCTTCTTCCCCTACTGCATGGCGCTGTCTGGCCTCACCCGATGGCACATGCTCACCGGGTAGGTCCCCTCATTCCTCCCTGATGTTATTTATTTATTCAGCTCCTGCCAAGCACCAGGAAGAGGGCCAGAGGTCAGCGGACACTGGAAGAACACGGGCATGGTCTTTCCTCTCCTGTAGCTTCCATCTCATTATCTCTTAAAACTTCTTAGAATGTGGAAAAAGAGAACAAACGACAAGACTGACTGTGTGCTGCAACAAAAACACAGTGAGCAAAGATGAGGGCCACCGTCCTAGAGTCCAAAGTAAACATGCCTTTTTCATCTGAAAGTGTTCAGCTCAGCATTCCTTCATTCACAGAATATGAAATCCTACTGTTTATGGTGTTGTCCTCCATTGTTCGTCCTAGATTTTATCTTACCAGAACTTTAATTCCGCAGAAATTGATTAGTTTGGAATAGAGCGTATGGCAAAACAGACATACACCCCCTCATTCATTCAGTAGCTATTTTTATTTTTCATTCCATAGCTATTTATTGAATTCCTATCATGTGCTGGGCATTTGGAACATATCAGTGGGCAAAAGAGACAAGGAATCTCTATGGAACTTGCATTCTAGTCTGGAGAGAATAACAAAAATTAATAGCTATAAATAAGGAAAGTATATGGAATATGAGAAGCATAGTAAGTGTTAGAGGAGGAGGGGACCTAGAGCAGAGTAAGGGAGATGGAAGGATCCAACACAAAGATTACCAGTAGATGCGTAATTGTAGGTGGTCATGTGTGCTCTGAAGGAAAACGCAGGGTGCTCTGAGCTAGTGTAGGCTAGTTAGGAGGGTTAAAGAAGGCCCTTTCAACGCAGCGACATTTAAGTAGAAACCTAAGAAAAAGTAGGCGTTAGTCAGGTAAGGAGGTCGAGGACGGTGTTCAGATGGAGGAAATAGCAAAGCACCCGAGGAGCAAGGGTTCAAATGGGTTTGGGAGGAAGCTCAGGAGATTAGTTGGGACATATTTTGACGTGCTTATAAACCGTTCTAGTGGAAAAGTGAAACGTGCAGATATGAGTCGAGCTCAAAGACTGATTTGGAATATAAATATATATAAATTTGTGACCGTTCCACGTGTAAATATTCCTGAAGCCAAGAACGTGCAAAAGGCAAGAGAATCCAGAAGCACACCCTGAGTGTCTTTTGCTTTAAGAGACTGGGTAGAGATTTGTCAGTTATACCTCAAAAGAGCTGGAAAAAAAAAAAGAATAAAATAATATAACCTAAAATAATAAAATAAAAGATGAATAGAAAAAAAAAAGAGAGAAGGAGAGAGATTGGGTAGAAAAAGAGTCCGCTGGCAAAGAAGACTAAGAAGGAACCCCCAAGAGGTAGACAGAAAACCAGGAAAACGTGGTGTCAGGAAAATCAATGGAGACCGTGTTTCAAAGAGAAGAGGTGAGTTTTGTAAAATGCTGTTGAGAAGTCTACTAGAATAAAGGCTGAAAAATTTCCGTTGGATTTTGCTGTTTCTCGAATAGCATTCTGTATACAGAAGTTACTAGTTACAGACTCGAGAGCAGGTTTTACAGTATGTTGAGAGCGGGATCCAGAATTAGCATTGAGGAGTAAAGGAGAAGATGACAGCATAAATGGAACCTCTCTTCCTAAAGCTTGACTGGGCGAAGAGCGTGGAGAGACAGGTAGTAGCTAGAAAGGGATGGGATAATACTTTTTTTGGGGGGGGGTGTTGTCTTGAGTGGAAGGTATTAGAGCAATATTGGCCGCTCTGCAAATTAGTCCAGTAGAAAGGAAATGCCATAGATCTAAGTGGGAAAAGGAGTAATGAATGCAATGAGGTCTCTAAGAATGCAAGAGTGGGTGGAGATAGAGGGCACGTGCTGCGAAATTGGCTTTTGAGAGACCCTGTTGCCCTGTTGCTTTCCTATAAAGGGTGGCTACAGATCGGCTAGAGGGAAAAGGAGAGCGTTCCCTTCAGACGCTTTCTGTTGGTCCTTCAGGTCATCAGCGAAGAGCAAGGGAGAGTTGGCCTTTAAAGGTCTTACAGAAGGTTTGGAATGAGGATTGGGAAACAGAGGAT